CTGCTGAAAAGAAAACTAGAGATTAACATTCTGTGGGCAGGCCTACACTTCTAACAAGATTTTCCCTCAGGTTTAAAGTCTATCTCGCACCCACTGAAGACAGCAAGTGGTACAGGATCGGGGCCGTCTTGAACAAGAACCGTTTCCTTCAACAAAAGCCAAGCTAAAATTGGAAGCGCCAGAGTATGGGAGGAAAATTTAATTTCCTGGGTATCACATTAGTAAATATATCAAGTCGAACCCAAGTCTACCCTGTCTACTTTTTAGTTACTGTTTCAATAATGTTTGAAGGAAAATGAAGTTCCGTTAACTCACAATGAAAGCTACGGTGTGGCCTTTTACATCAAATCTCACAATCAGCACAATTAGCTATCACAGACACACGCAGGTGCTGAATTTAGTGTTCAACGCAGTGTTTGCATTTCACAATAAAATTTGAGTTGGATCATATAAAGAGATAATAGGTGACTTTCCCAGGATTTCCAGCAGGGAACGTTTCCACTTCGTTAGCATGACACAATAACGGAGCACCTGTTCCACGCTGGAAAGTTTCTTTCAGGGGGCAGTATCAGTGGCTGGCGTTGTTTAAACTCCCCTCAACATTCGTATTTAAATGGTGGGATTATACTGAAGCATCAGGTATAACCAAGCTGCATTCATCTTGGAGAGGATCAAAACTCACAACAATGAATTCCAGCCTGGGGTTAAGTTCTCGTTATTTGCTGAAGAGGGAGGGTTAACACATGAGATGTCCAATTCACAGGGAATTTACAGCAGCCGCCCACCCTCTACAACCCAGATGGCTGACCCAGCCTAGCAGAGTTGTTGTTTAACCAGGAGAGGAGTTTGGAAGTTTTCCAACTGAACAGAGTTTTGTCAGGAAAACTCCCCAATTCATCAAACTGTTTTGCAAAAACACCTTCAGTTCAACAAACTTGAAAAAAAAACAACAACAAAACAAAACACAAAAAGGATGTCAAAGGAATGTCCATTTCAGTCACCTAGGGACAGCATGGCCCATTGAAAATACCCTGCACCAGGGTTTCAAAACAACTTCCCTGGCCCAGGTTTCCACTTCAAAACAGAACTTCTTGTGAAATGGAAATCCTGGGTTTCCAGAGAAAATCAGAGCAGAAACAAAAGTATTCCGATAAAATTCACCCATCTCTGCGTGTTAGCAAACATCGAGGACGTGTTCATAAAGACGTCCAGGTCCAGTCCCTCTGCCTGCTCTTACAGAAACAGCGCAGGCTGGAAATGCTCCGGCCGAGGCAACAGCTTGCCTTGCAACAGGCAGCGGAGGGAGGACTGGATCTGGTCTGTCGGTCTGTGGTGTTATGAACCGGATCACAGGCCCACTCCGCATCGCTGTGCACTGCGTTCCGACTCACCTACCAGGCAAGCAGGGCAAATCCACGGATTTAGGAACAACCTGAAGCTGAGGCATTCTAGGGGAGCACAAGTTCCTTCATACAATTGCCAAGGATTTTTTTTTCCTGCTCTCTCAGCTTCTCTGTAGCCAGCCCTTGCTGTTAGCACTGCCCCGTACAGCACCAGCCTCTTCCCTCACATCTGCACTCGAGGCAAAATCTCCATTTACAGAATTGCCATAAGGAGAAAACTTTTTAGGGGAACACCTTTTGCCCAGTCCGGCTGTCGAATATCCTACAGCAGGGAGCAGTCATCAACACGGGTAAACAATATCTCGCTCCTTTAAAAGTCCATTAAGTGAATTCATCTATTATTAGAAATCTGTTTAGCAGAAGAGAATGATCAGTCTGCCACAGAACGTAAGACAATTCATTTGTTCCTTTATGCACTTAAAATGGCTTACAGCAATGGCTTGAATCGTGGCCAAGTAGATAAGGGCAAGTTCATCCAGACCACAAGACAGCGTCAGTCCAACAACCTGTGCAGAGATCAAAAAGAACATGTATAAATCCAGCCCTCAAAAATTCTATTATTCTCGACGGTTTCTTGTTGTAACAAGTTTTAAGTGCTAATTCTAAGCCCTACTTTGTGAGCTGTACACATAATGTTATGTTAAACATGTTATTCCTGATCTGGGAAAGAACCACAGAAATTGTTCTTGCCCTTGCAAAGAAATGAAGAACAAACAGCACAGTGCATGGGATTAGAGACAGATTAACTCTGACAGTTTGATGTTATGACTTCGATACTGCTCGTGAATGTATTTAATGTAATAATATGAAAATGCTATTACACAAAAATAGCTTTACAAAAGCATTTCTCCCCCTCCCTGCTAAGCACCCTCACACTGAAATACAATTAATAATTAAAGACTATATCTTAACTTCTTTTACTCTGACACAAATCAATACGGCACTGTAGTTACTCCAGATTAATATCAGCATAGGCAAGACCTGAACGCAGCCACAACTGTGGTAGGAAAGATGTGTTGGTATCACCAGTATTTGCACATGGCCATCATACCAAGGGACTGCTGATTCTGCTGCAGCATATAATTATTTTATAAAATAATACAGGCATTATTAGGACCCCAAAATATGTCATCTATTTTTCAAATGTTTCTCTCATTTGTGTTTTAAAACGTGTTGCAGTGCTCAGGCTTACTTTTTCTTCTCTCAGCCTCAAATACAGCAGATTTCAGTGCTGGTGAGTAGCTTGAGATGCTCACATGCCATTTTGAAGTACATTTTTGCATTAATCACCAAACATTTTGAGATCATCAAATTATACTCTTATGATATTCTTCTGTTATAATTCTGCACAGTGATATCCTGGCTGGTGACCCAGCTGATCTGCCACCATGAAGTCCAGTGAGGAGAAACATCCAAACGTTTACAGAAGGGCTGAAAATCTCCCCAGCACTCTGGTGAACTTCCAAATGCTGCTTTTTCTGCTCCCAGATTGTAATGCTCTGAAAATTTCTTTGTACAGAACACAATATTTCAATCCCTTTAAGTTGCAAAAGTAGCAATTTTAAAACCACAAGCCAGAATCAGATCAGGTTTACCTTTGAATAAAGATGCGTGAAGCACCATAGCGGCATGTTTCTAATCCTGAGAGCACGTATGCCCATTTTTAACAGTAAGTTTCTGTTAAAATTTACTACCCAACAACTCTAATACAGCACATTTACTGATCATTCATCTGTTTAAATCAAGAGATCTCTCTTCAGAATATTTCATTCCTTTCCCAGATAGGCATACCCAAATTTGTGTTGAAATTCACTGCAACAGATAGGCAAAATTTGGCAGAGAGGGGAGTTAACAACAGCAAGCACTGCTAGTCAGGGCTCTGAAATGTGATTCCTAGGAAAGATACTGGGACACACACGGCACTCATATTTTTAGAAAAGAAATGTGGCAGTAGTGATATCTCAACTGCAATGATCTCTGGTTTTCTACAGAAACATTAGCACACTTTGAAATGCAGCAAGAAACCCAAATCCTACGGGATAGTTTAAACCGCTGAGGAGTAAGCTCTAAATTGAAAAAAAAAAAGCTCCTTCCAAGCTTTTTTTTTTTACCTTCTATTGACCTTTTTGCAAAGACAGGCTGTTTCTTACCATGCCCTTTAGTGTCAGATCTGTTAAGGGAGATCTGTTACCATGGAAATCTGGCCAAACATGTAAATCAACAGTGAGGAAACCCACAGGCAAAGATTTCTTAATCAGATCCAGGTGACTGTTCAAGTATGTATATATACTGTGAGCACTAGAAGAAAAACAAGTTGGAAAAAGGGGGGGGAGGTTATTCATCAAACAGAAAACATTTGTGCTACCATCAAACGCAGAAAACCCAGTTCAAGGGGCCATCTGAATTCCTCCACCTCGCAGGATGAGGGGAGATAACGGCAATTTGTGATCTCGAGTTTGTACACTGACTCCTACACGTCCCTAGACGAGCCACGGCAGTTGGGTATTTTGGAGGCTGCTGCTGCTTGTCTCTAGCAGAAAGGTGCTGACACTGTCAAAGAGAAAACTGAAGAACAGAATGCTGAGAGAGAGGAATAAGGAGGATTCCAGATAGAAATGAAAATCAAATTGCTTTACAAAAATTTCTCTGATTAATCAATAGCACTTGGACGTACAGCTTTCCTTTTTTAAACCATAATTATTTCAGTGTGTGTTATGATTAAAACACAGCATTTAGGGTGGAGGAGAGAAAGCAAGTGGCTGCTATTTTAGGGAGGAGCCGAACATGGGCCTAAATATGATTGTATCCAAGTTCAGATACTACACCCAGCTCCACAAGATCCAACAGACTTTTTCCTGGACCAAGAGTAATCGTAGGACTAATGGTGAATTCTTCAGCGCTTTGGCTTGCAGTGACTCCAGTGACATTCCATTTTAAAAATGTTGCAATTATGCTCTGACTATTTTTTCAAACACTCAGTGCTATCATAAACAGATTCATATATATCTTTCGACTCCTCTGAAATCTCCAAGTGGGGCATTTAATTCTAGACACCTGGGTCAATAAAAGCATCTAACCCTAATTACAATTGATTAGTCATTGTCTCATCCACTGTAGACCCAAACAGTGATATTCATTTAGCCTCTATATGTATATTCAATCATGCACTAATGAGGTCCCTAAGGGAATTTGGCATATGCTTTACTAGTTTGACTTCTGACCTGCTAGCAGCTGTATATTTATACTTTGCATTCAACCATTCAGCTGCATGTTTTTTCAATTATACCTTACCATGTGTATGCTATCAGAGGATATCATTCAAAATGAAGTACACTTGGAAGACATTAAAATAACTAATTCACATCATTATTCACATACTTTAAAATGTACTTTATGTGTCTTCCTGGACCTGAATTATGATAATTTTGAGGTCACAATCATTTTTCCCCCTTGTTGTAAAAGTGGTCCTGTTTTCTACGTCCCTAATGACTGCACTATAAGCTGTACATGCTAAGGACAAAGTCATTTTATTTCCAGTCTAAATCATGGCTTGGCTGTCGAGGAGGAAAGGAAAGGAAAGCTTCCCTCAACCACAGACCTACCAGACATCCCAGCTTCTATCTGATCTCCATCTGCTTGACTGCTCTCACAAGGATTGGCCATTTGTGCAGCTCTGACAGAGCTGAAGTTCAGCCAGCCATGCTTAAGACCCACATAACCTTGGAATTACACTTTTTTTCACACCTTTTACTTCCCCCCCCCCATATTGATATGGATTTCAAGGCACTACATTTGGACTCAGCGACTGGCAAAACCCTTCGAACACATGCCAGTTCCAGTTTCTACCATGTTTGTGTTATACATAGCATTATACCAGCAGCTCTCTGGAGCTTTTTCTATTCAGCTCTATAAGAAGGTATCAGTAGCAGCTTGATTGGACTTGCACAGCTGAGCACAAGCTATTGCTACTAAAAAGGAACTCAGTTGAAAGTGGAGCATAAGAAAGCAATGCAAGTTTGCCCAGGGTTATGTTCATATTAGGGACATAACTTCAGAGAGCAACAAGAGGTACTTCATCTGTTCAGGAATTCTGGAAGATGCCAGCAGGCATCTTTCAGGAAAAAATCTAAAAATTTTAAATTTCTCAGTCTAAAAAAAAAAAAGAAATTAAAAAGGCTCTAAAACATCTAGAGGTACAGAGAACTGCCAAATATCATCATTATGTTCTGCTTGGAAAATCCCATTATTGCTGACAGATAATGCGTCGTTTCACCACTTTTTTCTCAGAACCCTTCTCTTTAGATGGGGAGATGACATTGAGAAGTGAAAGAAGGGAGATTCTGTCCTAAAATGCAGCATTTCACAAAGCCCCAAAGGGTATATAAATCTCTGCTGTCAAACAGCTGGTCACTTTTTTCCTCCAGAAGATTAGAAGCTGTCATTCTAGGAAACATTAATATTTAAACCTCAAAGCATAAATGATTGTATTATTTCTTTTTTAAATTTCCTACTCGGGCCTACCTATACAGGATTTACTGTATCAGTGATGGCTACATGTCAGACCTACACAATACACAGACTGAAGACCAAAAGTGCTACACACACAGCACTTTCTGCAGCTCACTGAACTGCATGAAAAACCCCAACGTTTGTTGCTTACAGAGTATGCCAATTAGTTAGACCAAATGCTAAATTTACAGCTGTCCAGAAAATCCTCATGAAATTCAAGCCTCTCCACTTCCAGTAAAAGAAGGGAAAAGAGAATGTAGGAATAGTACTGGGAGGGTTGCACAAGAGCAGTCTTCAGCACAAGTGGTCAGCAGGAGCTGGTCTCTGGCAAGTTTGCCTAAGCCACTTGTGCCTGGACAAGTTACCACAAATGACTGAAACAGTGACAAATGCAGCTTGCAAACCCCTGCTCCTGGTACAGGCAAAGGAACAGAAGTCTGCACAGCCAAGCTTCTGAGATCAGCTGCTCAGCAAGCAGTTTGGCACTGCTGGACCTACCTGTGAGCAGCGTTGGGAGCCTGGCAGAAAGGAAAGAGACTCAGGAAGGCAGAGTAGGTGATGGGCAGCCACAAGTGAGAGGCACAGATTTGTGAGCTCTGATGGTGTGTTTTAATGATCCAGACATGCACGTGCTTCTTGTCACTACAAAACCAGCCTAACTCTTCACAGTGTTGCTCCAAGCACAGGAAGTAACGGTAATGTGCAACTGCACATGTAAATTTGGAATTCTCATTTGTTTTCTTTCAGTGACCACTTGCAGTGGCTGAACAGATATAAACTCCTACACCCACACTAAACATAATAAACCAGATTCTCTGAAATATTCTCCTGAGATTCCCAGGCAAATAATTTATCATCATCACCAGCAATCCCCCAAAACAAGACACTATGTTCTTATTAAGTGTATGACTTAATGTAAATAAATGCATAATCCAAAGTTTGGGCCAACATTGCTTACTAAAAAAATGTGTCGCACTTGTACAGCTACTGCTGCAAGTCCTTGTGCTAAGGCTTGAAGCTTGTGCTCCATGTGGTGAAGGAAATGAAAAAATCAGGAGTAAAAATCCGTTCAAATTGCAAGGTTCCTGATTTTTGCTTGTTCAAATTAAATTCTTTAATTAATATTTGAGACGGATAAGGAGAAAGAGGATAGGGAAAATTCAAATAGACTTGTTTACTAAATCTTTAGCTATCCTAACATTTCATTAGCAGAGTAATATCTGGAAAGCATGATAAAAATACCATAGAGCAACTTAATTTTGTAAAAAACTCTCATCCTTTTTATAAAATACTACCACCATTTTTTAGCAATGCTATCCTCTACAGTTTTACTAAATGCAGAAGAGTCAAATCCAAAATTATGACACCATACACCCGGATAATGTGGAGTTCTATTCCCAATATTCTGTATTTAGTGTCCTATTCACATCACAGTCCAAGCTTTTTGCACTGTGAAATGAATTGTGATCAGTTCGCTCAGTATCAGACCTAGTGCAGACAAGCAGGCTGGTGTATACTCATTTTTTCAGCTCAAAAATAAATGGTTTATCCTGGCACTACAGACTAAACCAATTGTTTGTCTTAAGCTTGTGCTTCATATGGGGGCACCGGAAAAATGGCCTGGAAGCCAACATTTTAGAAGAAAACCCAGATCAATCCTTATTCTAAACATACACAGATGCATTTATTTCCCGATTTCCTTTTTTAAAGAACAACAAAAAGAATTCTAGGAAGCCTGAATCTGTTTCTTGTTGAATGAAGTCCAGTGCATTTCTGGGAATCTTGGACTAGTTAACAAACAAGTACAGCACTGGGTACAACAAAGCATGGAAGGGTCATCCAGAGACACCAGGTAGCTTTATTCCCCAGGGAGAACTGAAAATAACTGTATAACCGCATGCCTTTAGTACATCTATCAGGACTGAGCCTTGCCTTTTAGACCAGAGTGAGAAACTAAAGATAGATGCCAAGTTTGCTGGTTTTTTCCTTTAATCCAAGGAGGAAAAAGAAATTAAAAGAGAATCAATTTTTCAACCAGTGTGCCTAACTGTTCAGCTAAGATCTCTCTGGGAGTGATGTGAACTATCCTAAAAGGAATCCAAGCCAAAGGAGCTTGAGAGAGTCCAGATCTGACAGAAGCGTCTGGGCTGGCTTCATTCACTTCTAAAGCAGACCAAACTAAAATTCCACATCGCACACAGCCTCCTGCACAGGAATCCTGCAGTTACCTCCAATTCACTCCTACATTTTACGTTTGGTCTAAAAATTCATCCTGGAATTCTCTGTTCTATTTGTGCTGCCATGCAGAAGTTTTTCATACAGTGCCTATACCGTCCTGTAGGTGACTGTTCCAAAAATATTGAGTAATATATTCCTAATTAAGCTCTATCTCATGCTTGGAGCTTAATAGTGTCATCTTCAAACTGAGACATACAATTAGCTCAAAGCATACAGGTCTGCTAAACAGGGCTGATGCTACGGTATCAAGAAATACCCTGGGCCAGATTAAAAAAACCACTGAAAAGCAGAAAGCTAATATCACCACTTAGATATGCCAAAGGTATCTGAGGGGAGTTTAAAGCTTTCATCTTTGAGCAATCATCTGGCAAGCCTTTGTAAATACTTCCAACCCACTCTCAGACTGTTAATTCCCCTGTTTCAGAATAAGGAATACAGTGTGCCATCAATTTGTAAGGCGTGATAGAGGAGTAAGAAGAGTGACCTGGCTGCAGCCTTTGACTGTAGTTCTGGGAAGGCGACATGGCCTCGGACCACATGGTCTATCTGAAAAAGAGGAAAGCAACATTTTTAGAACAATTATATCTTAAAAATTTGGTCTCAGAAAGGGGTAATGCGGTGTCATAACTTTAAAAAAGACAAGAAAGCTTCTAAATTACTCATGAGGTGTAAAGTCCTAGTCCTAGTGAAGCCAATGGCAAAACTCCCACTGACATTAGTGGATTCAGGATTTGGCTTAAAAACAGTAAGAAAAAACAACCAGTGCTGTACCAAAAATAGGCAAAATGCTAAGCAGGCAGCTCCTCAGTCCAAAGAGCAAACTGCAAGGGTGACTTCTCTCCTGTCCAGCAGTACCTGAGAGCACATCCCCTGTCTCTCCATTCTCTCATTGGAATTCTACCAGGAGCATCTTCGTGGCCCAAGACCCTACACCTTCCTGTATCGCACTGTTATAATAAAACACACGGTGTGTTGTCATCCTGATAGATGCTCCATTTGTTCACTGCAGGAAACAAAATGTATACCCTGACAAGCAATTATTGCTATATAAAAGGATCAATATAGGTTCTGTCCAGACTAAATTTATAAATCTGCTCGTCCTTTCACTTCCCCGTGGCCACCATTATTCACAAAACAAAGTATCAGGTACAACAACACAGGCTTTTAAGACAATAATTCAGCAGGTTTTGTGGCCTCTCAATATCATCCCATCAGAGGTGACAGTAAAAGCTAAGGAGGCAGAACTAGAGCTACTCAAGAGCACCGAGTGTATTTGGCAATACCTATTGGCAGCAATCCACATCAGAGATTTAACTTTTAACAGCATGAGTGTAGTCCTTAACCAATGTAGGGAAGCAATGAAGCACACACATCTGAACATAGCATGTATTGCTATAACAGCAAAAACCAAAACTCAGCCCTGTGCGTGCATTGGAAACAAAGCTCAGACCTGAATTCTGCAGTCTTGCAGAATCTCTAAAACTTAGGAGCAGCTCATAAATTCAGAAATAAATCTATGAATAAATATCATATACATGTGCGCTATGAAAACACTTTACACAAAAATGTCACGAGGATGGAGCCAGGCTCTTCTCGGTGACAAACAATGATAGGACAAGGGGTAACGGACACAAGCTGGAACACAGGAGGTTCCACTGAAATTTGAGAAGAAACTTCTTCTCAGTGAGGGTGACAGAGCACTGGACCAGGCTGCCCAGAGAGGTTGTGGAGTCTCCTTCTCTGCAGACATTCAAAACCCGCCTGGACGCCTTCCTGTGTAACCTCATCTGGGTGTTCCTGCTCCGGCAGGGGGATTGGACTGGATGAGCTTTGGAGGTCCCTTCCAATCCCTGACGGTCTGGGATTCTGTGATTCTGTGAAGTTATGAAGACAGATATTTCAATGCTTTTAATTCAAGACGTGGCCCCATCAGAGCTCCATGTAGAAAACCTTCTCTGCTATTCTTTATTTTACCGTTTGCAATGATGCCGTGCCATCCTGTGTCTCTGTTGTGCAACATCTTTCTTCCTATAAATTTTGAAAATCCAGTGCAAAAGCCCACCTCATAGACAAGCTAACAAGCTTTTTCAAAACAAGCGGAGTTCTTAATTATTCACTTGGACTGTCTGCACCAAGTTTAAAAATCCAACAGACTTTTTTCCCAGCTGTATCAATAAAAAATTAATTAGAGGTTGACTTTTAAAGGGAAGTGTATCTGTTTTACTTTCAAGAAGTTCAACAGACTGTTCAAATTTCATTAAAATAATTCACCTTTGGGCACAAATCAAGCAATGAAAAGAATCCCAAAACATGCCCATTTTATTTTTTGTTTGTTTTCAGAAAGCCTGAAGTATGAGAAAGCAAGATCTCACAAAGACTACGGCTTTAAAATGACAAAGATAATGAATGCAACCTATCTTCCACACTACTGTGAATGTACACTGCTTCCTCCTATGGCTCCCCATGTGATTTCTGTACATACAACCTCAAGAAAACCACATGAGATATTCTAAGAATGTTTTAATAAGACAGCTTCCTCAGGATACCTAACAGTACTTAGAGCTGACTTCTGCTATGGGTCCTAACAAGACCACACATTTTTTTCCCCAGCAATTTCTTTAATGACTCAGTAACGTCTTGTCCTCTGGTACCAGAATGGAAAGGATTTATAAAATTATCTTTCTGAAATGCCCTAACTCTCATGGTACATTTTAAGTGTGGAACCACCCTGAGCCAGCCAAGAAAAAACACTGACTTGCTCTATCCCCTCTAGAGCTTAGTTAAGTGTCTTGACCTGCTTTGGATTAAGTGTATAGACACTTCTCCTCTCAGAAATGTTCTTACAAAGAAATGCACAGGATTTGCCATTTTCCCTTTAAAGTGGTGGTATACGAGCAGTAATTTAATTTGACTGCTGGTTGTTGCAGCTACCAATAAAATGGGACACTTTGGTTCTAGTCCCGTCTTGACCTGAAAAATGCACGCACATCCCACCTGCTGTGAGAGCCACGAGGATAACGATGGGTTGGAGATGCGATGGGAAGCGGAGGCTGCAGGAGAGGAAGAGATGCCTCTCCCAGTGAAGCTGTGACACTGTGGAGAGGAATGCTGGATTCACGTGGGCAAGGACCACGCACAGGGAACACCAATCCATAGCTCAGCCCTTCGGGTGTGTCTGGGCTTCCCAATGCAGGATTATTTCTGTTTCTCATTCAGTGACTACTTCATATGGAATGCATAAATGCAGAGATGCCCCAATCTCCTACTTCCTGGACATGTACCCTGATCACAAGGCTTTTAAAAAGGTGGGTGGTGCTGGGTCTGAGTAAGACAGCAATTACGACTGCAATTTGGGAAAGACCCAACCCACCTGTGTTTCTAGTGAGCTTACAGAGGACGCCCACAGGACCTCTCCTGTTGTTTCTCAAGAGGATCTTGGCATCTCACCCCTGAGGGCAGTCAGTATTTCAGCACACTAAGCACAGAGGCACACAGGGAGCTTTAGGAGCTCCCGGGTTTAGGCAGCCACTAAGGTCTTGCTGTCACTTTTGGACTCTAGCCTAAAGACTGTTTTACACACCTAGCCTTTCTTTAAATTTGACATCGGAGTTTTAGTTCTGACTGCCTCCCTGTAACTAAGAAAATTCTTTTTTAGATAATCCAGTCTGGTTTTAATTTTTATTGATAAATTAAACTAAACTAATATAGCTGGACTCTGCATTCGAGGAAAGAACTACGGTAACAATATGGACAGTATCTAACTAGACAGGACAACATGTTAACATATTACTATTCTGTCCATCTTTCACTTATGCCCATCAAAGAGCACAATTGTTCGATATAACACAATATGTATCATTTTCTTTATCTCAAAGTCTTTCTCAGCTTCCTGATAAAGAATGAGTGCCTATTTACCTACAGAACAGTAACAATGACCATCACCACCATTGTAAAAGGAAGTCATACCCTTCGTGCTCTGCCCCAGATATAATCCCCTATCAGCATGCAAATGAACAGTTTGTAAAAGACACAACAACCAACCGTTTATTGTGTTCAGCACCATGGCATCTCCTGTGATCTTACAGAGGTGTTTCAGGCAGAGCTCAGCCTGAACTGGCAGTGAAGCTATCCTGAATGACAGCAGTAATGGCAAACCTCCCATCTTGGAGTCTGTTGTGTCTCCAAACACTCACCAGCTTCCCTGTAGCACTTTGACCTCCTTCATTCAACCACAATCCAGGTACCATCGCAGAGAAATAAGGTCCCCAAATACCAGGCACAAAAATGGGTGCTTCACTGACCTGGAAAGGCAAGAGAAAGCTCTAGTAAATTCAATTACCTGTCAAAGTAAGCACTTTACAACTAATGTTTGGCAGCTATCAGAGTCCAATACTGAAATGGTACCTGCTCCTCCACTGGAGTTACCAACATGAGTGGAGATGTATCAGTAGAGATTTACTCTGAGGAGAATGTGGAGAAATATGTCCCCCATTCGCATCATTTTTAGATGACATGACACAGCTGCAGCTACTGATTGCACAACTGCCCCCATTCACTCCCATTTACAGACCAGCTGGGTCTGGCCATGCAGAAAGTAAGATAATGCCATCAGCTCCCAAGGCTTGCTGTGGGACCCCAACTCCAGTGGTCTCAGTTAGGTGCTTTGGGTGGAAGCTGCAAACCTGGGCTGGGCAAAGGGGATTTGTTTGTGTTAGCCAAGAGGAAACACTTGCCTGGGTAAACATTAGATTCTGCCCCTTACTTAGGCTTAGCTTTACAGAAACCACTCCTCCCTAAGCTCTACCTTCCAGAAACCGAACAGGACTGTATTCTACTGCTTGTGCACAAATATATCACCCATATATACAGTGTTATCCTCTCCTATGCAATATCTTAGTGGTTAGACCACTCAGGATGTGGGAGACACTGGTACATTTCCTTTCTCTGCTTCAGAAGATGCAAATTACCAGTTTATAAGGGTGGAGGGCATTTTCCTTCCTCTTATAAAGCTGTTCCACTTTCAATATGCATTGATAGACTTTCTAGACTTCCTTTCTGGTTCAGAAAGCAAGCCTAAGGAAGGATACTAGCAAGGAGAGAGTCTAGTAAGGCACAGCACAGATGTGGAATGGGGCAGTGGAACTTGGGTCCTAGCACTTGCTACACAGAGCGGTTATGTACTCTGCACTAGTTGAACGTATAATTCTTGCAGACTACCTGTCTTCTCTTTGGACCATGATTCGTGTTTTCTCTTCCAGGACTCCGAGAAGAGGAAACAAGAGAACTCCCTAACAAAATAAGTCTGTATGCTTGCAATGCTGGAACAGCAAAAAAGAGAGGTCTTATCAATGAGACTATGGGTTTTTGTATTTAGACCTTGCTCTCCATTAGGAAAATTCTAGCCCCATTGAAGGATGCTTAAGGTTTGCTATTGATTTCAATAAGGCTTGGACTTCACATCAAAGTAGTTTTAAGGAGGAGTAATTAAAAATTCAGGCCTGTTCCTGTTAAACTTGATGCACATTTTCCCTATATTTAAACAGGCCAAACTTTAAAGACAGTTTTTGCCAGCAACTAGGGAATATGCTCCAAGATGCAGTTTACTGGCATTTGTGCAGCACACATGTTTAGTACATACACCAGCGGGGAGGTTTCTGTACAAACAATATTCTGCTCAAGCCATAAACTTACAATACAGCTGATTCTTGTCAAGAAGTAGGAAAACAAACCAACAAAAACTGGTTTCTCAAAATACATCACTACAGTGTTAAGCAATCCTGCTTTCTCTTAGGAACGCATCTAACAAATACAAGAATCTTGCTCAGTTCTCCACTATCAGCTCTAACGTGCTGACTTACTTTCACTAAAGATGTATGCGTGCACATGTGTCTGTGTGTCTGCGTAGGATTTTGGCTGACTGAACCCATTAAAGAGCAAGAATAGCTGCACTGAATTTAAAAAGGCATTTATGACTCCAAGTGGACGAAGCTACGTCAAAAACACTGCAAAGACATTTGGTTTTGTTTTGTTTTCTCTTAAAACTACAAATTAATACAGCTTGAGTTTTCAACACCTCTATGGGGCAAGCCTTCTTTTACAATTTCAATTAAAAAAAATGAAGTGCAACAGAAAACAAATCCTAAAATAACTCGATTTTTAGACCAATTCTACATCACTGACCTGACTGAGAACACAGCAAAAGGTCAACAATTCCCAGTTAGTATCTGGTCCAAACCAGCGATGGAAGTGCGCTGAGAACCCACGCGTCCCTTCTCATTCCCATCCTGCAGCGCTGGACACAACATCAGTCCCTAACAGGTGGGAAAGAACGCCTAGGGCAGACGGGACCTGGGTTTTCAAAGTCTCATCTCAAAGTTTGATAAAAAACATTAAAAACCCCCAAACTTTCTTCTGCCATTAGTCCAGAATTGTCCTATATGTCCCACTAAAGGCTTAAATTGATCAAAAGACCAAACTCCCCCTGGAGCCAGTACTTCTGGCCTAGTATTTCAGACACCCCCAGGAATTTGCCAGGACAGGATATTTCCATGCTGGCTCTCTTCAAATTACACCGAGACTTTCCTATCAAGTTACTACCAAAGTACCATCTGTACACATTCCAGCAACCTTTCAACACATAAACAGAGCAAACGAGGGAGCTGCGTATCGCCACACCGATGAGCACAGCCAGTGGGGTACCAGGTTATCGCTTTTTTTCTGCTGTGAGAACTTTTAACTGGAATAAAGAACACTGCCTATCATGCTGAGCTTTACCGATACTGCATACGGCATCACCACATTTCCTACTTCCTCCTTCCACTTCAAGAGTTTAATTCACATGTTGCAGACTGGGGGTTTTGATGCACATGGAAAGTGAAAAAATTGGGACAGTACATGCTCCCCTGAACAGACACAATCTTTGAGAAGCATCAGGGTGAACCTTCTTCCATAGATATACACATAAGAAATAGCAAATGGTTTCCATTTCCCCTCCTTGAAATATTTGGACGATGCTTAAGTTTTTCAAGCCATGCCGCAGCTGGCATTTGTGTTTTCATAATAAAAAGGCCAAATTCTGTCTGAGGATACATACCACCCAATCCCACTAAAACACGAGTAGACGTAAGCATACGGTTGGTGAAACAGTGCAAGTTTGTCGCAGAACCTAGAAGAGAAGCACAATTTGTCGGACTCGGAGCTCTTTTTGTTGCTCCAATAGCATGTCCCTTTCATAGCTCGCTCTGGCCTTCAGACATTTTTATGGTGCTATAGGAGGATCAATGTGGTGTCATTATTTTTTTTCCTTTAATGAGCTTAAGAAAATTCTTAATCTTTTAGTAGAAAAACAACATCTGTTTTAGATTTATGGGCAATTGATTTTTATTTTTAAAGCAAATAAGAGATGTCATCCTTCTCTGAAAGTTAAAATACTAATTCAAAGGAAGCCTCAGATTTTCTGCCTTCTATTTCACTTCAATTCACCCTGTGACACATTCCTGTTGTGAGGCATATTAACATTTATTATTTTTCACATGTAGCGAAACTGAAACACAGAGAGGATATCCTCTACAAGCTGTCAGAACAATCTCTGCACAGCAAT